TTACGGTTCAACTGGTTAGTCTGTTCCTCTTTCCCCTACCACCTATATACAGCGAAAAAGCTTTGGAATTTTTTTGGAAGGCCGAAAAGATGGTAATGATACTTGATACAAATACAATAATAACTGAGCTCCTTATTTTTTCTCCAATTACTTTTTGTAATGTAATAGAGTAGAGATCGGGAACTTAAAGCTATGCTTGGTTTGAAGGAAAAGGTAGGAAAAGGAAGGAAAAGTTGAAAAAACCTTTACAAATTTTATATAGACTTTCATACCTTTCCCTTTCTTTTCCTATCTTTTCCTTCAAACCAAACATACCCTAAAGGGAAAGCAATAATACGAGTTGATTTTGCTTTCCTTTTGCCCGTGACCTACCTTTTGTTTTGAAGCTTGCATTATTGTTCTAGAGACGCGGATGCCCCCAATAAGAATAAGGCGAGTGCACATGAAGATAATGGACACATTGCTTTAATTTGCATGGCTAGTTGATTTTGTTTTATAAAGGGCCACTCTGTGATCAAGGAAAAAACAAGACTTCCATTTTCTCTCAGGTGGGTGGTTTTAGGGATATTAATGGTTGGGATTTAAATAGTAAAACTGGCCTGGCCCTAGTACCCTACCCTATATAGTCGGATTAGGGTAAGGTTTATTTAGAGTATAGAGTCCGGTTATGGTTTTGATTTTTAACCCAAATTGTGTGGGTTTTCCCCATGGTTTCAAAATTGGATTGGGCCAGACGGTCGGACCGGAAAAATCAGGAATCAGTCAAATGATCGGTTTTATTTTTCTCAAAAATTGTTGATTTTGGTCAGCAAACCTCTGATCAGAGTGGTTAACCGTCCGAATGGTTTTGACTGTTTTTTATTTTTGTTTTTTGTCAGAATGAACTGATCATTCGATTCGAATGGTCAGACCATTCGACCTGGGAACCGAACCCCTAACCGGTTCATTCTCTAGGTCAATTTTAAAAACCTTGAGTTTTCCTGACCTACTCTGCTGGGTCATGATACCCGTACATATATATAGGGTATTTTTGCAATTTTGTATAATTCCTGATTTCACACCCTTAAAGCTTATGATTTATGTTCATATTTGTTTTGATTTTTCTTTTTTTCTAAAGGAGAAAGTAATATCTTTAAATCCATCAACCAAATTCCAACTTAAACTGGTTTTCAAAATGTATAATATAAGATACACTAGAAAGATTGCGGGTCAGGTCAAATTCGAGTAAAACACATTGGAAGATCGGATTAGGGTGAAGGTAAACAAGAATTGAACCTTTGAGTCATAGGTTTTATATAGGCAGTGGTGGTTTTATATAGAAGCCAGTGTGGATAATTGTCCCCATTGATATTTGAAAATGTTTTATATGTATATGAAAAAAATTATTTATTTTTATAATTACCCCCACTCGAATAAAATAATAGGGGTCAAATGAAATTTAACTTCTTAAATAAGTTCTTTTCTTCATGAAGGCATAAGAGGTGATACAAGAAGTATGCCTCCACTGATTAAAGGTCCTGCATCCGCCACTGGTCACAGGCACCATTTTAGTCACATTATCTATTGCCTAAAGTGTTTAGCACTGAAAGAACTTCTCAATATAAGATATGGACCAAGAGGACCATAGCTCCAATTATAATAAAGGCAACCCTGGACCAAGAACTGTCCCACTCCCTCACCCCAGGCTGGTTATATTAGCAAATTTTGCGGATCAGTGAAGCAAAATCATGTGAAAGGGCCTCCACTCTCAGTCTCGGAGAACCACCCTATTTCTCACAATGAGAACTGTGCCGAGTATGTGAGTTGTAAGTATCATTTTCTGAATTGGTGCTTATTTTTTTGTTTGAAATCGGTGTTATCACATAGGTGTTTTATGAGAAAATAGCATTAGTTTTGTTTGGTATCAGTGCTGGTAGCAACGTTTTTAATATTGATATATATTATCTAACGCCCAAGATGATGCCACATCATCACACCGTTGGCAGCAATACATTGTTTTTTCATAAAATATTGAATTTGGTGTTACTACAGACCATACTTTCTTGATTTTCAAGAGGTGATTTAAAGCAACGTTTTTTTTTTCCCTAAAAGAATGGTATTGATGTAACCGTTTCTGGTCACGTACCATTTTTTGTGATGTATAAATTTTTTTGGCTAAGTACCTCGTTATTTGACCTGGTGGTGACGTGCCTTGGTGATGAGCTACTTGGTGGCGAACTCCCTAGTGGAGAACTGCCTGGTGGCGAGCTCCCTGGTAGCGAACTGCTTGGTGGTGAGCTCCCTGGTGGCGAGCTCCCTGGTGGCGAACTGCCTGGTGGCGAGCTGCCTGGTGGTGAACTTCCTGGTGGCGAGCTCCCTGGTGGCGAACTGCTTGGTGGCGAACTCCCTGGTGGAGAACTGCCTGGTGGCGAGCTCCCTAGTGGCGAACTGCTTGGTGGTGAGCTCCCTGGTGGCGAGCTCCCTGGTTCAGCGCAACCCGACTATCCTCTGCATGAGGTGATTTCTTCTCCTTTGTAGGCAGCGGGAGCTGAGGGACCTACGAGAACTGAATCAGAGGACCCGGGGGTATTTTCCCGGCGGGGACTCTCCGATGCCTAAGTTAGCATTCT